GCTAAGTCAAGTATGGTGGCATATCTAATTCAAGACAAAATATAATGGCTCCTTTTCTCTCATAGCAAAACTTTGTGGAGTGAATATCGAAGTACTGTAGGCTCTTAATTAAAGGAACACAATAAATCTTGTATTGGAAGGTGGTTATTCTGGTCTCTTTGCAGAGATGAATTGGAGATTGTCTAGAAGAAGGAAAATTAGCTTAACCAAAGTTAAACTTATAAATAATTGAGCATCTGTGGCCTATGTTTCTCTTTGATCATAATTTCTCCCAATTTATAGACCTCTTTGATACCCGATTAATCATTGTCAAAGATGCAATTAACAATGATTATTACTGTGTATTAGGTTTTGCCTGGGCCCTGAAGAAACTATCCTAAATTACGAGCTATGATTGTCACTTGATTTTCTCACAAAGAACAATCAGAACTCCTGGTCTTAAGTGGCTTGGAATGTGAAACTAAGAAGTCTCTTAGATATTACTAGAGGACCCCACAGAGCCCATTGGTGAAAGTTTGGAAAACATTGGGCTTCTTAAAATTAATTCTTGTAGTGTGTTACGAAAGATGACTGAACCAAAAGGATAACAGTGTTTCTGGTTCTGTTGTTAGCGTTCTCCATGGAAACATCACGGAAGCTTCTGGACTCAATTTCCTTCCCCATGTGTGAATGTCACTGAAAATATCCAATTCCATTCTATCCCCATATAACTTCAGAAACTAAGCAAAATGAAGACTCAAAATTCATTTCAAATAATGAAAGGAAGATATAATGTAGAATGGAACTGGGAAAATGTCTGGTTTAAATTCTGGAAAGTACCAACTATAGAATTCTGGATAAGTTGCTTAATCTTGTTTAGTCTAATTTAATGCCCATCTCACAGGCTGTTATGATGATTAATTTAATATCTTTGTATAACGTACAGTGTTATGTAACTTCTTCTTGAGTAAATTCATATCTTTAAGCAACTCACTTTAAAAAATAGTTACTTGCTTAAATTACTCTTACCTTCTATTATCAGCTGAATTGTGTCCTGCTCAAGTTAATATGTGGAAGTCTTAACCCCCAATACCTCGTAATATGACTGTATTTGGAGATAAGGCTCTTAAATAGGTAACTGAGGTCAAATGAGGTCAAATGGGTGGGCTCTAATCCAATATGACTGGTGTTCTTATAAAAAGAAAATATTAGGACACAGACATGCACAGAGAGAACAAAGTAATTATTAGTAACCACGATCATGTCGTGAATGCATGGAATACGTCACCATTTGCCAACCACCGTGTCAAGTCAGCAGAAACTACAGAAATTAAGAGCTCACCGCAGAAATTCACACACCCTTGCACCAGGTAAGGGACCACAGGCAGACGTTCACTCAGCCTCTCATGTGTCCCTCACAGAGTGCACGCTTTCTCCTGGGAGGGGCGAGCACAGACACTTATTGGGAGTTTTACTACTTTTAAAATGCGTTGATAAAACCATGTCTCACTGGATGAGTCAGCAAACGCTTTTTGTAAATCCCAAATTCTCCACACCTCCTACCTTTCGCGTTGCCCTAGTCTCAAAGCTCTCGCCCCTGCTCCTCAGGCAGCGTCCCCATGTGAGGCGGGGCTGCGTGCGGACGCACGGCGAGCGCGCAGTCGTCCTCGAGCCCCGCCCCCACGGAGCCGCCGCAGGTTTGAACCGCATCCCCGCGCGCGGAGGGCTATGAGGGAGGCGCCAAGGGCCTGCGATTCGCCGCGGGTGGCGGAGCGGGAGCGCGGCATGGAGGGGCTGGCCTAGCTGGGGCTCGTGGCCCTACGTCGTCTGGCTGCGACGCGGGTCCTGCGCACGCTGCGGGGCCGCAGCCGCCGGGCGGTGAGCGCCCGAGGGGCCGGGAGGCGAGCCGGGGACCCCAGGCGGGTGTGGGCATCGTGTCCACAGCCAGCGTCCCCGAAGCCGCGCTCGGGCCGTGATCACTCGGTGAAGCTGCGCTGCGACACTGCAGCCGACTTCTTCCTGCGCTGTGAGGACCTGTGCGCGCTGCAGGACTCAGTGCCTCTGCCTGCGGGAGGGCCTGCTGGACTTAAAGCTGTCCGCTTCCACGGGGTGGACTGGGTACCGCCCCTGAGCACCCTCTGCCCCTGATCTGTATCCAGAGCTTCTTCCAGCCACAGCTGGGCGAGACAGGTTTGTAGTTCCCGCTTCCAGGGGCTGTCGTGTGGGCGTCTGCGAAGCGGGGTTTTAGATGGTGCAAGGTGGAGGCTGGGCACTAGAACCGGTGCCCAGTGCCCGGGTGTGCGTGCACTAGACGGGGCGTGCGGCCTAGGACCCCTGCCAGCTCGGTGACCCCGGCCGAGTGCCTTAAGGCTTCTAGGTCTCAGTGTACTCATCTGTAGCATGGGCTTAACAGGACCCACTCTCCGTGGCGGTTACAAGGACTCACTCTGTTAATGCTTGTAGACTCTGCAATGTAGAACACTTAGCACAGTTTGGAGCATCGTTAATGGTTGCACAGATGTTACCTGGTGTGTTGAATGACTTTGCCTGGTACAGACCAAAGCGATTAGGAAGTTGATATATCCCAACTTCATTTCCTTTCCATTAAAACAGGTCTCAGAATAAAAATATATATATATATTTTTTTATAAATTCGTTTTAATTTATTTATTTAGCTGCGTTGGGTCTTCGTTTCTGTGCGAGGGCTTTCTCTGGTTGCGGCGAGCAGGGGCCGCTCTTCATCGCGGTGCGCGGGACTCTCACTGTCGCGGCCTCTCCTGTTGTGGAGCACAGGCTCCAGACGAGCAGGCTCAGTAGTTGTGGCTCACGGGCCTAGTTGCTCCGCGGCATGTGGGATCTTCCCAGAGCAGGGCTCGAACCCGTGTCCCCTGCATTGTCAGGCAGATTATCAACAACTGCGCCACCAGGGAGGCCCCCCAAAATCTTTTTTTCAATAGTCATATCATATAGTGGAAAGAGCACCGGTGCGAAGGCAGCTTAGGGTTTGAATTCCAGTGCTTATGCTCTCTATGGCCTGTGCAGGTTACTTTTGAACTGCAATCCCCACACTTGTAAAATGATATTAAAAACCACTCTTTCTGAGGGTTCTTACAATTAATTAAGCACCTTATGTGTGTAAAGTATCCTGGCGCTTGAATGAGTTGGTAGAACTAAGCGCTGCTGGAGACGATGCTTCTGCCCTAGGTAATCTCCCCTTCTACTGGGCAGCAGGTAAACACAAGCACAGTAGTCAGTTCTCTGGAAGAAGTGAGTTCTGGTGCTGCAGAGCACAGAATCTTTTTGTTAATTTAATTTTTATTTTATATTGGAGTATAGCTGATTTACAATATTGTGTTTGTTTTAGGTGTACAGCAAAGTTATTCAGTTATACATATATCCATTCATTTTCAGATTCTTTTCCCGTGCAGGTTATTATAGGATATGGAGTAGAGTTCCCTGCGCTATGCAGTAGGTCCTTGTTGATTACCTATTTTATATATAGCCGTGTGTATATGTTAATCCCAAACTCCTAATTTATCCCTCCCCGCCACCTTTCCCCTTTGCAGAGCACAGAATCTTAAAAGGGAAAGTTCAGGGTAGGCTCCTTGGAGGAGGTGCCATCCTTTCTAAGGATATGTAGAACCTTCTGGGGTGGCAGGATGGAACAGTGTGTCAAAGGTTGAGAAATATAAGAAAATATGGCAAAACTAATGTACAGGACTGGAACTCAGGGTTTGGGAAAGAAATGAGAGTTGATACTGGAAACCTAGTGGGGACAAACATAAAGGGGCCTTGTTTGTCCGGTCAGAAGTTTGGATGTTTATCCTGAAGGCTGTGGGAAACCCTAATAAACAATAAGATGGACTTCTGGTTTAGAGGCTCACTTGGACCTTCATGTGGAAGGCAGTTGATTGGGTGCAGGGTGAATTGTAATCTAAAGGTCCCACTTAAGTTATAAAAGGTTGGACTGCATTTTGGAGATCCGAGAGAGAATGGGTGGGGCCTGGTGACCAGCTAGAAAAGGAAGGGCAGCAAGCTTGGGTGACAGTTTACAGCTGCATCTTTTTGTGAGATACAGAGCACAGTAGGAAGGGATTGGGGGTGGGGAGAGGATCTTACTTGATCTTCAGTGCTGTAGAGGTGCTGGTAGACGGGTCTGGGCCCAAGGTTCAGATCTGGGCTTTTTGGGAGGACAGGTGTTTGAAGGCATGGGAGATACTTAGGTTACCCACAAGATGATACAAAGAATCATGGGTCTGAGAGTTTTTTAAGTGAGTGTATGTATATATATTATTTTTTAAATTTTATTTATTTATTTATGGCTGTGTTGGGTGTTCGTTTCTGTGCGAGGGCTTTCTCTAGTTGCGGCAAGTGGGGGCCCCTCTTCATCGCGGTGCGTGGGCCTCTCAAGTGAGTATATTTGAGGATGTTTATAAGCTGAGAGAAAGTAGCCAGCAGAGGAAGGGTGTGAAGATTTAGGATAGGAAATGATTGTTCATTTGTTTTCAAAATGCTGAATACTTATTGTGTGCCTGGCCCTTTTCTAGGATCTGGGGTTCACACCATCTGTTATCTCTTCTGCAAGGACAGTTCAACTCATCCCCTTGGTGAAGAGAAGTCACATTATTCTTTGCATCCCATTCAGGTGTAGGAACTGTTCTGTACCTCTGAAGGGACTTTACTTAAGCAGAGTAATAAGTTAGAAATCAAAAGAAATTATAGCTGGAAGGGACCTGAAAGGCCACTGTACTTAATTTTGCCACATATTTTACATTGAATGTAACAAAAATTTATTGTTGAGCCCATTCTCTTCAGAGTTCCTTCACTGAACTTCCTTTATGTCTTGCATCCAGTGGGGCTAGCTTGTAGATTTTGGCCTCCTCCTAAATTTGCTTCTTCATCCGTATTACATTTTGCCCGGACTATGGCAGAAGCTCCTGGGTGGTTTCACGGCCCCTGGGCTCCGTTCCTCTGTTTATCTGCCTACTCAGTTTAAGTGATCTTCTAACGTAAAAACATACGCTTAAAATAATGCTGCTAATGGCTTGGCCACACCGAGTTAGTGCATACTAGCCTCCCAGCGTGTGCTCTGCACAGAGGTGTGTAGTCTGAACTGTGCTCGGCCAAGCCTCATGGGGCTCTTTGGCCCTGAGGAAGGGGAGCTTTTTGTGATCACTCCCTTTATCTAATAGGTCCTTCAGCAGCGGGGTGCCTTTTTCTAATCAGCGGAGGCACCCTTACTCAGCCAGTGGTAGCCCCAGGCCTCATCACCTGTGGGATACAAGCCATGCTCTCTGCCAGGCTTGCTTCGGCCAGCATCTCTATTTTCCTTTCTGTCTCTTCTCACACTTGGACCCCTGGCCTTTAGTCATCCCCACCTGCAGTATTTAATGTGCCCAGCAGGTGTCAGACTTGAGTGTCTTTGCACAGATATTCCCTGTGCAGTTAATGCACATTGTACTCCAACTCTGCATACTCTCATCTTTCTAGATTGTACTTCAGGGTTATCATGAAGCCGTCACTTAGATATAACTTTTTGCCTCCATAGGAACCTCTGTGCATAAAAGTTATGGTTCTTTATCTCATGTGATTGAAATTTTGAGTTTATACATCTCCCTTCTTAATGAAGGCTTTAAGGGCAGGAGTCGTTTCTAATCCTTAGCACAGAATAGATGCTTTGTTTTTTATTTAGATGCTTTTGGGTTTTTTTTTTTTTTGCGGTATGCGGACCTTTCACTGCTGTGGCCTCTCCCGCCGCGGAGCACAGGCTCCCGACGCACAGGCTCAGCGGCCATGGCTCACGGGCCCAGCCGCTCCGCGGCATGTGGGATCCTCCCGAACCGGGGCAGGATCCCGTGTCCCCTGCATCGGCAGGCGGACTCTCAACCACTGCGCCACCAGGGAAGCCCTTTAGATGCTTTTTAATGATGATAAAATATATGGTTTAAATCACTCATTTTACAATAATTTTGGTTTAGGTTGTGACAGAAATAAAGTTTACAGAAGTCGTGTTCCTGCGATTAGAAATAAAGATGTGACCTTCTAGTTGTGTAAAGCTCTTAAATGTTGTGTAAGTGTGTCCTGTGCGCTAAGGAACCTGGAGCTAAGTGGGGTAGTTGTGTGAGAGAGAGACTTAACTATGTTAACAAAGGTAAGCCTTCATTGTGTCCTGCCAACATTTGATAGCTGCTTTTGGGGCAAACTAAACCAATAAAATTTTAAACTGTTCCTCCCCATTAAATGGATTGAATAAATCGGCCACTTTGGTGCACCTGTGTCTTGCGAGTTGTCCACTTGGAGATGGAGGTTTAGAAACTGAGTTTCAGTCTTGTTTAAGTCTCTTCCCATCAGACTGGTCGTGATTTCCTACACACCATGTTACTTCCTGTCTACCTTATCTTGGTGTTGTTCATGCCTGGATTGTCTCCTGTGCCTGCTCAAACCTTGGTCCATTCTCATTTGTACTATGGAAGTTTGTCATGCTGGATACTGTCAGAACTAATTTTACTTAAGTTTGTGTTAAGCCATAAACCACACATTTTGTATATTTTCTGTTTTTTGTGTTTGTCTGTATTTTAATGTTTCTCTTCAAGAAACATTATGGGAAGAGAAATAGCAAGATATAAAGAGCAAAAAAGTCATGATGATCTTTAAATTGTTAGAACATGTATCTGCAGTCATAATTATAATAAACTGTGGTATGTGTTAAAATAGGAAATATATGTCATGTCCCGTAAGAGCAGCAAACTCAGTGGTGTTAGTGGGGGGGAGTCATGGAAGTAATCACAAAGCAAGTGACTGTAAGTTAGGGTCCTGAAACATTAGTGTGTGTTCCCTGTGTCCAGTAGTGGTCTGGAGGGGTCAGGAAACCTGCCTTCAATTTGAGGGAACAGAAGGTTTGAGGTCCTCTCTCTTCTATTGCTCTAGTATACTGCATAGCAGCTAATAAAATACTGGGTTTATAGTTGACATTTAAATTGCTGATTGATCATCAAGATTGGCATGTATCATTGGAAATGAAAATAGGAAGAGTCTTAAGAATTTTAGGTTTTTCTTTTTTTTCCTATGTCTCAAAAGGTATGTAGTGTTTTACTGAGTGGTTGGGAATAAAGTTTGCAGTATGCAGTGTATTCAGTTTTAGTATCTGAATAGAATTAAACTGCTGCTGTTAACTGGAATAACACTTTGTTACTGACAAGTTTTAGAATGCATCTGTTCGTCAATTACCTGTTTGGGAAGATTGTAGTTAATGATTTTAAGAATTTAAACCTCCAATTGACTCAAGAAAAGCAAATAAGTCAAGATTGACAAATGTATAGGCTCTTCATCTTATTGTGTGTGTGTGTGTGTGTGTGTGTGTGTGTGTGTGTGTGTGTGTGTGTGTGTGTTTCTGTTATTTGTCAAGGTGTAAAGAACTCTATCACTCTTAAGACAGTAAACTTCACGGGATGTAATCTGACATGGCAGGGAGCAGATCACATGGCCAAGATCTTAAAGGTGATTTTTTTATGTTTGAACTTTCATGAAAACATATGTGATTGAAGCACATTAATATAGTGGTACAAATGGCAGTTAATTTTTGTCTTTTGATACCTGTGAGTGCAGCTTTCGTTTTGTTGAAAGAATATGACCAGTTTTCAGTTTGGGATTCTACCATTTAGTAAAGATAGTCCACTTAATTTTAGAAATAAGAGGTTTAATATATAATACATAATAATATTTTTATGTAGTTTTAGTTACTGAAAACATTGATTGTGATACTGTCAAAAAACTATGCCGTTATAGTCTTTAAGACTTAAATGAATCAAGTGTTTATTAGCTGCTGTAGTTTATAAACTAATAAAAATCACTACACCAGCAATTTGTAAATACAGTTTTTTAAATAATGCCTTACCAACTTTACAGTGGTTATAATGACTGTATTTAAGCCTAAAGTTATTTAATAATTTGACATGAAACCTTTTTAATAGTTTGATGGTGCAGATCAGGGATAGGTAAACTATGGCTGGTGGGCCAGATCCAGCCTGTCGCCCGGTAAAGAAAGTTTTTTTGGAACATAGTCGCACCCATTGTTTAGAAAGTTTTTTTGGAACATAGTCGCACCCATTGTTTACATGGTAGTTATGGCTACTTTCACCCTACGCCAGTGGGGTTGAGTAATTGCAACAGAAACTGTATAGCCCACAAAGCTGGAAATGTTTAAATTTAGATTTTAAAAATTGAAAAATTCTTTGAGCCTATACAGGGCAAGTGCATTGACCCCTGCGGTTGAAAACAGTCAAGAACTTGGGTGCCAAAGCCAAATGGCCTAGGTTCAAATTCCCTTTCTCCCTTTTCATAGCTAGTGACCATGGACAAATCACTTAACCTCTGTGCCTCATTATGAGGTTTAAATGAACTAATTTGTATAAATAGTGCCTGGCACTTAATAAGCACTGTGTCAGTGATTGCTGTTATTTCTGCTTGGAGCTTTTATAAACTATTGTTAATAGGAAAATGACACTAATGGTTTTCTTTTTAGAGTGTCAAAGGCACTTTGAGTCTTTTATTTTTTCAAGAATGTAATAAGACTTTTTTCATTTAAAGTCAGTGTTCCCTATTACCATAATTTATTTTATGAATATAAAGAATTGAATGTCTTTAAGACAGTACTTGTGGTTAAATGTCAAACCATAATTTTCCCAAGGCACATCAAACTGGCTCTGCATAGTCCAGGCCTCTAAAGTTTGTGTGCATACCCTAGGTAGCATGTGAGATCTATTTTGTAATACAGTTTTTAAAATAATGCCTTGGACTTCCCTGGCGGTCCAATAGTTAAGACTCTGCGCTCCCAATGTAGGGGGCCCGGGTTCGATCCCTGCTCAAGGAACTAGATCCCACATGCATGCCGTAACTAAGAGCCCGCATGCCACAACTAAAAGATCTGGCATGCCGCAAGTGAAGATCCGGCACAGCCAAATAAATATTTAAAAATAATAATAATAATAAAATAATGCCTTAGATTTAGGAAAAGAAAATATTAGAACCTATTTGCCTTTGTATCATTTTTAAAATATCTGTGTGGTTTATAATGTACATACATTATATGTATAGAACTTCGTGTATATAATTTGTTAATAAATAAGATGCATATTAAAAAGTTTTCTTATGGGTTGCCCAGTCAGGTGTTTGGAGACCAGTGGAGGACAGAATGATGACATTTAGAGCCTCAGCAATGATAGAATTTAGAACCAATTCCCTGACTTAGAAGATCAGGAAAATAATTCATAGACTGTAATTGAGTTGTCCAACTTTACATAACTGTTCAGAAACAGGTCATCCGGTGCCTGGAATCTAATCACTGACGGACTAGAATGTTGGTCACTGGACTCGTAAAGCAGAACTGACTGTTTAATTTCTCAGCTTGATTCTGCTGGCACATATGCTTGATACGTGTGTGTGTAAATCTCTGACATAATAAGCCATACTCAGTAGGCACACCCTGTTTCCTTATTGAAGCATCTTAATTTTGTCCCATTAAATCTTTGAAGTATCAGACTACCAGAAGGCACGAAGAAACCTGGGCTGAGAGTCTTCATTCCAGGAGACCTGATCTTGACTGTATGGCTGGTTTGAGACGCATCACTCTGAACTGCGACATGCTCATTGGTGACCTGGGTACAAGTGCTTTTGCAGAATCTCTTAGTGAGGATTTGTGGCTTGTAAGTAAATTCTAAAATTGAAAATATTGAATTTTTAATATGATACATGCTTAGCTTTTGGCTTGATACTGTTGTGATAGGAATTTTTTTTAAAGCCTCATTTTTCTGATAGGTTTTATTTTGCTTGTAAACTTTCTCTATGAGTTACATATATTCATTGTAGAAAATGCAGAGTTACAAGAGAACAATTACCTATAATCTTAATACCCAGACATAATCACTGTTCATTTTGGTGTATATACTTTCAGTCTTTTTTTTTCTATGAATATATTTTGTACACTTAGGGATAACAAAAATAAAATTGTAGTATACTTGCTATTTCATATTCCTGCTTTTTTCATTTAATGATGTATCATGTAGTATAGCATCATATTGATGTCCCATAGTTTAATCAATTCTTTGCCATTAGATTTAGACAGTTTGTTTTTCCCTGTCAGAAACATTGTGAATACGTTGTATATACATCTCTGTGTCCATCGGGATTACTTCTGTAGAATAAGGAACTAGAAGTAGAATGACCTGCGTGTGACATATTTTTAAGACTTTTGATACACATGGCCAAATTACCATCCAGAAATGCTATGCCAATCTGTAGTACACCCCAACAGTGGATGTGTGAAGCCTGCCTCTCACAAACACTGGCTTGTAGCACTTGTAAAAAAATGTAAAACTACAAAAATGAGTACCTCTCCATTTTCTATGCAAGTAGGATTACTCCAAATTTTATAACATTTTTCAGTTAATTTAGTATGAGCATTTTAGCAAGTCAGTAAATTTGCATCTCCTGCATCATTTTTTGTGATTGTTCAGTATTCCATTATATGAATATGCCACAGTGCACATAGATTATCCATTCTTGTATATAAGCTTTGTCCAGTTTTTCAGTTACAAATTGTACTCTGATATATATCCCTACCTATATCTCTATTTGTTTTGGTTAAATTCCTAGAAAGAGAGTTGTTGGATCAAAAGGGTATAGACATTATTTAAAGGCTTTTCTTACAGAATCTTGGCTTAATCTGATAGGAAAATAACCACATTTTGTTTTATTTTGTATTCATTTGATTTCCTGGTGAGGTTTACTGGCTGTTTGTATTTGGCTAGTTGGTTAATTACACCGTGTGCCCATTCTTCTGTAGTGAGAGTTTGTAAGGGTTGTATCATATCCTGTCAGATCCATATGTCTGACTTGCTATTTCTGTATGTCATGGAGTGTTGAAAGACTCCAGTCACTTTAATGTGATGGTCCACACAACACTTAAAAAAAAGACTCATGATAGTTTCCTTTCATGTAATAGTTTTTAATACCTGTGCTTTGGTGATGATCCCTTTTGTTTAAATGAGTAGGTTGTTCAGCCCCAGAACTACTGGAATTCATGATCAGTTTTTCTGGGTTTTGTCTGACTTTTTATGGAGAGAGTTCTTGACCATCATACTTTCATGATAGATTTTTAGTATGTATTCTCTATTCACACATTGTTTGAATTTGTTATTAGTATGTATTCTCTATTCACACATTGTTTAAATTTGTTATTATTTGTATCCTCTTAGACTTGTCTTTTTTGCTCTAAAACTAACAGTTACTACATTTCTTCTATTTTGTTTTCCCCTTTTAACTAGTTTCAAGTGTAATTTGGAGCTGAAGATCATGATCAAAAGAATGCAGTGCATTTCTGAGCTCCACCAGGTTTTGCTTGTGAGGTTTACATGCCACTGCCGCCCTTGCTAATTATGAACTGAAATTCATTTTATGATGCTTTTTGCTCACAGGTTATATATACAGTTATTCTTCAGTTCTGTAATTGTAAAATATGTTGGATGATTTATTGGTACTAAAGCAAGGGTTATCATTGCACATCCAAGAAGAGGTTTTTAAATTGGATTATGCATTATGTGTGTGCGTATACCTTTCTTTTGTTTTTCCATACCCAAAATTACAAACCTGCCGTGACTTGTCTTGGGCAGGACTCTTCCACACGTGAGAAAATGAGAGTTGTCTATATGTTAAATCTGTAGAGTTAGCAAGTGACCTTTTGTCTTTCATCAAAAACACTTGACCTGCAGCAGTGTGGCCTCACCAGTGAAGGAGCAAAGGCTTTACTAAAGGCCCTTGAAACCAACAGAACTCTGCTCTTTCTGGATGTAAGAAAATATCCACTTGTTGGTATGTGGTCACTTTTTAAAAATTGATTAACACATAGGAAAACAAAAAGAATTTGTTCATGTATTGACAGTTTTTAAAACTTAATGTGTTTAACTTTCCTCATCGTATACAGTTGACCCTTGAACAATGTGGGGTTAGCGGTGCCGACCCCTACGCAGTTGAAAATCTGGGTATAAGTTTATAGTCAGTGGTTCCGCATCTGTGGATTCAACCAACCTTGGATTGTGTAGGACGATAGTACATATTTATTGAAAAATACCCGTGTGTCAGTGGACCTGCGAGGTTTAAACCCATGTTGTTCAAGAGTCAACTGTACTTTTCTAGTGTTGCACTTATGTTTTTAGCAGGTAATTTACTAATTAAAGTGAGTTATACTTGTAAATTGTTCTTATCCCTACTCTGAACAGAGGTGAACCTAGATACTAAACCTGCTTCCACCAAGAGCATTATTTCTTTCTTGTGCAACCTCTGAATTCTTGCAAGGAGTACTTTATTCATTTGTCAGATTCACAAGTAATTTTTTTAATATCTTCTGTGTGCCAGATACGGGTTTAGGCACTAGGGATAAAGCAGTGAACCAGACACACAAAAGTCTTGCCCTCGTGGAGCTTACATTCTAGTGAAGGAGTTCAGATAGAAATGAGTAAACAGATAAGTAATATAATTTTAGATAGTAGGAGGTGCAAAAATATCTTAATGTAAAGAGAGTGAGCGGGGGCAGGTAGGACTCCATTGGACAGGTTTGTTAGGGGACAGCTTCACTGGAGAAGTGGCATTTGAATGGAGACCTGAATGAAGAGAGGAGCAAGCCATGGAAGATCTGGTGTAAGCACATTCCAGGACAAGGAGCCCATGAGTATGCAGGCATGTAGGTGGGTGGAGTATTTAAGGAAAACCAGCATGGCCAGAGTACTGAGTGAAGAAGATGTGGTATGACATGAGGTCAAGGAGCTAGCCAGGGGTCTGCTCTTGTAAAGTCTTGAAGGCCAGAGTAAAGATGTGGATTATTCTATATGAGTGGAAGGTTTTGAAGTGGAAAAAGGCATGATCCAAACAGTATCTGAATAAGATGACCTGGTATAGAAAATAGACTTGGGGGGATAAAGAAGACAAATAGGGAGATCAGTTAGGAGACTATCACAGGGGTCCAAATAAGAGATGTTTATGGCCTAGGTTAGGTTGGAACTTTGCAGCAAGTGAAAAGTGGTTGAATTCAGGTTGTGTTTTGAGGGTGTAGCTAACAAGGCTTGCCGATAGATTAGATGTGGGGTATGAAGGGAATAGTAACAAGGAGACAAGTCGTTGATGATTATGTGTGCAACTGGGTGGTATCACTTAGAAAAAGGGAGCTGATGGGAGGAGCAGCTTTTGAGGGAATATCAGGACTTTGGTTTGTTATCTTAGATGCCCTTTAGGTATCTAAGTGTCTGGACAGTGCTCAGACTGTACTTTCTATCCAAAGGTATCCAAAGCCACTTTAGATGCAAAATGTTTAAAGTTGACCTTTGCTGCTGCCAAAATAGTAGCCACTGGAGGCAGTCTGCAAGATGGCATCTTAGGTTTCTGAGGAAGAAATTAGAATACACAAAGGGGGAGATAAGTGTATAATTACATAATGTAGATTTCATATTTAATTTTATGGGAAAAGCAATAATTAGTTGGCTTTTGGTTTTAAATGGCAGTAGCCACTCATTGGGAAATAATTACTCTAATTTCAATTTATTTTATTTTAAATCATTCTGTGATGAAAACAGTTATCAAAAAAGGTCTCCAGAATGGAAGGAGTGCCAAGTCAGAGGTATATCACACGTTTCAGTTCTCTCGGAAGAATTTCTCTTTAATGGCTTGTTTTTCTTTCCTTCTTAAAAGAAAATTATCAAGGTACTTTCTGCCATCTTAAAACTAAGTTTTTAGTCAAATGAAATGGCTTTTCTGTTTTTGAAAATGTTGTGTGATGCTTTAATTTAGCTTCCCAGAAATGCAGATTGAAGACCTTTTATTAACTTAAAATATCTTAATTTCCAATGAAGATCAAACCCTCCTAAATTACCTGTAACTTAAATGGCATATTTATCATTGCTTTCTCAGTACCAGTGGATAACTTCTCCATCGGTGAAGGAACCATGCAAAGCTGCTAGACAGAAAAAGAGAACTATAATTTTGGGAAGTGGTTGAAAAGGAAAAGCTACAATTAGAATTGGTAACTCTTTCTTTTTTTTAATGTTACTAGAACTTATACCCCTTATATATCCGGTGTGCTAAAATTAAAACAGCCTTAATGGTTATTCCTTAACGGTTAATTATTTCCTTAACGGTTAGCTGTTAGTATTATTTGTGGTTCTTATGGAACGCATCTAGGATGTTCCTGACACATAGTTTTTAATATGTATTAGATATTTATTTTAATATGATAAAGCTCGTGAAGTGACAAAATCCATATCCAGATATGAGGTCACCTTTTCTCCCTTTCTTGTGGGGTCCAGGCCTTAGTAAAGAGAAGGAAGCATGTGATGTGTCTAGTGACAACCCCAAAATCAAGTAGGCAGAGCCCTTGGCGCTTTACAGATATGAATACATTTTTTTGTCATCACAACCCTGTGAACAGTGTTTTACAGCAGCGCAGACAGGTTAGGGTCAGGTGCAGCGGGGAAGTGGGATCAGGCAGGAAAAGAATATCGGGAGAGTCGGGGGGAGGGCCGGTTCCAGGGCCTTTAGTAAGGAAACAACAAAAATCACATGATAATGACTGTTTTTTTCCAAATGCAGGAATCAGTGGAAAAACTAGAAAGGATCACGTTCAGAATTGTGATCAGTTGTGTCTTAATATGTAAAAGTCAGTTACGTTCCCATTCTCCAGAAATAACACTAAAAAACAAGGAAAGATCCCATTTGCAATAGTCACAAAAATTAGTAAATATCTAGAAGTCAGTTCAGTGTTCACCTGAAAAATTTAGTGCAAATTGATAGATGAATCATTTTAAACATATATGTTAACATTAATAAGATATAATGTTAACATATGATCTATTAACATAAAAAGCCACTGGCAGAGGGAAAGACAGATCGGTGGAAAAGTCCAGAAACTGGTCCCTGTTTACTTGAGAATTGTATTTTAACTTAGACAATTTTAAAGTTTAACTTGACTTTTTGTCTGATTGACTGATTGAAGCATTGATAATTCATTTAAACAGAAATAGATATTTGCATCACAGCATACACAAATTCTAGTCAGTCGAAAAGGTGCAAATGCAACTAACTGCAAGAAGCAAATATAAAATACAGGAGAGAATTTCGGTGTAAGTGTAGGGAGTACAGAAGCCTTCCTAAGTAAGCCATAAAACTCAGAAGCCCTAAAGTAAAAGATATTTAATTACATGAAAATTTAAAACTTTTCTACAGTTCAAGACGTAAACAAAACAAAATGACAGACACAAAAATTTGGTAGTATATTAACATATAAAGGTTACTGTTGATATAGAGAAGAACCCACAAATAAATGAAAAAGGATAACCAAATTTTAAAAAGGCAGGGGCTGGTTTCTACCTGTATGAGCAAACAACTCAGAAGAAACACAGCTGGCTACTAGACAAATGAAGAGAGACCAACTTCTTTAGGAAATGCAGATTAAAACCATGGGATTTTCTTCCCATCTGATGGGCAGAAATTCTAAAGACTGATAACATCTGGTGTAGACGAGGGAACAAGCACACTTTGCCTATGTTAAGTGTAATAAACGTGTTCAATTTTGGAGCAAGGTTTGCAGCGTCCATCAAAGTTCAAAACTCTCTTGCTCTTTGTCCAAAGACTTTTACTTCTAGGCACCTGCCCTCTGCCAGTACTCTGCCTTGCACAGAAGTGTGCATAAAATCAGGCACCCGCAAGTCCAATGAGGGATACTTATGTAATGGGGAAAATCTAGAGACAACCCGGATGTCTTTCAGGAGGGGTCTGATGAAGGAAATTAGGATCCATCCATGGTATGGTGTAACGTGTGTGTGGAGAACGGGGAAGGTCTGTGAGCAAATAGGGAATATGACCTGATATATCATCAGGTTAAAAGGAAAAAGAGCAGGTGTAGAAAAGGACATGTCTATTATTCCAGTTAGAAACCCACAGTGTTTGTATTTGTAAATACTATATATGTATATATGTACATATGGAAAGATGCATATATACACGTATACACATTTGTGTATCTGATCCTGAAAATGCACAAAAGGCTGTTAATGGCAACCACCTCTATGGAAGGGAATAGATCTTTATATTTTTACTCTAGTTTTCCTAATCGTGTGCAAATTTAGAGTTAATTTTTTACTTAAAAGTTAGGCAGTCAGGAGAGGCCTAGTGACTCTTTTGTGGGCTTCTCTCACCACAGGATGCACTCTTCGCGCCCTTGTTGTTTCTGGTTTGTCTTTTGGAGCAGACACCACTGAAATGAGCGTCTTGTCATCGCTTGCCAACTGCCTGCGGTTTTCTTGCGCCCTCCTAACCCTCACCACCTTTGTGAGATGCTGTTTCGCGCTGAGGTGGTGCCTTTCCCCTCACACACACCCCTCTGGTACCTAGGGGAGTCCCGGGGTTTCTCAGTGGGCATTCTAGAATACTCATCCCAGAGATGCAGTGGGTTTTTAAGCCACAAGCATTTGGGGAAAACTCTGTTCCTGTATGAATTATCGTCTTGGGAGTTCACGATTCACCGGAGCTCTTGAGACGCTCTAGGAAGTTGAGTCAAGAAACCCGTGTAGCCCTGTTAGTTCAGGATTTCCTAAATTTCTAGGACTGACTGTGGCACTGCTTTTCTAGTCACAACCATCCTTATCAGCTTCCCTGATAGACTCCCTGGGGAGCGCTGCTCAGACTCTGTCCTGGAAGCTTTTCAGTCTCAGGATTACCCGCTGCTTCCACACCCTCCCAGCCCCCTGCCAGCGCTCTGTCAGCCTGGCACCTTCTCCCTGCCCCCCAACTCATTCAGGCCACAGGTGCTGCCCTTGCTCTGGGATTTAGTGATAACGCCTGGGAGCAGTGGCCCAGCACAGCCCACGGCAGTGCTCGGTGTGGCTCACAGGGTTTAAAACACACAATTTGAGCCCTTACTGGAACATGGGAAGATGATTTAAATCCAGATGTCTTATTTCATAATCCCCGTGTCTCTGAAAGTGGGAGAAACAGACTGGGAGGGCCGTGTGTTTCAAGCAAAAGGGAGACTGTTTCTCTGTTGAAGTAAAGAACGGGCCCTCACAGTTAACAGGTAACATAGGGAGTTTGTGCTGAGTCTGTCATGTTGGGCCTGTTACACTCATTTATATGACCGTTGGGTCCCTATTGGCATTTGCATTTAGTGCCCAAGCTTGAAACTCCCGAGTGTCCCTGTCTTGGTCACGAGCCCTAATTCTGTTGACCTAGAAAGTTCTTTGTGGGAGCTTTCTAGCAGGCCTCTCCCCCAGTGTCCCCACCCTCCAGCCTCTATGTCCTAGTGCTTTTTCTAAAACGCACAACTCCTTATCGTGCAGACCTGATTGCTCCTTGCTCCTCCAGGATCTGATCGATCCAGTTCCCAGGAGAGCGTGTCCGCAGGGCCCTCTGCGGTCTGCAGTCCTGCCCCCAGCCAGGCACCCAGCACCCCAGGTGCTGCAGAGAAGTTGCTGGTGTCCCCCGTGCCTTGGCAGAGACAGCTCTCTGCCAGCTGCCATTCCTTTGTCTCCCCCTGTCCTGACCCCTCCCACCTCCCTTCCTCTGAAACCATCAATCTTCCCTCAGGCAGAGGTACTTGCTCAGCTCTGTGCTTCCACAGCGCTTGTCCTGTGGAATTTGAATTCCCTCCACAGCAGTCTTGCTAGGTTGGGAGCAGCCGATTCCCCTTCATCTTTTTCTTCCTTCCCTCAGCCCCACAGCAGGGACACTCTCGGGCACCGTGCAAATTTAATCCTCAATTTCTAGTTGTTATGACACTGTTGCTGTGATGATACGATCTACGTTCACAGTAGGATGGGTAAATGTGCGGGGGATGACTGTAAATACAGATTCTTTGTAAATCCAGGTTCCTAATTCTTCCCCCTTTTAATATTTTTTCCCCTTAACTCATGTGTCCTTTTTGCTGCTCCAGCTCTATGATTGGACTGTCACCTGGGGAGTCTGAGGCAGCACAATATCAAAGAGGGTAGACAGTAAATTTTTATTTATTTATATTTTATTTATTTATTTATTTATTTATTTTGCGTTACGCAGGCCTCTCACTGTTGTGGCCTCTCCCATTAAGGAGCACAGGCTTCGGGCGCGCAGGCTCAGCGGCCATGGCTCACGGGCCCAGCCGCTCTGCGGCATGTGGGATCCTCCCGGACCGGGGCGCGAACCCGTGTCCCCTGCACTGGCAGACAGACTCTCAACTACTGCGCCACCAGGGAAGCCCGACACTAAATTTTTGATGTAAATGTCAACCAGAATATCTACTAGCTGTGCAAAGGAGGCCCAGAATTCAGTCTCAAAGCCTATTACCAGATACTTAGTTTCCCTGCTTGCGTCTCTTCTGTTTGTCGACGTGCACTTGATTCCTATTAACCTTAACAGGAATTATGTGTGTGCCTTGAGGGGCGAGCCTGGCTTTATTGGGGGCTTCCTCACACTGCTTTTCTTTGCTCTTTACTTTTTTTTTTGCAGTACGCGGGTCTGTCAGTGTCATGGCCTCTCCCATTGCGGAGCACAGGCCACGGACGCGCAGGCTCAGCAGCCATGGCTCACGGGCCCAGCCGCTCCGTGGCATGTGGAATCTTCCCGGACCAGGGCACGAACCTGTGTCCCCTGCATTGGCAGGTGGACTCTCAACCACTGCGCCACTAGGGAAGCCCTTTGCTGTTTACTTTCAATGAATCCCACCCTTTAGAAGTGGAAGAATAAGACAGGATGTGTTTGAGAAAATGGAGAGAGTTATTACATATTTTCCTTGTTATCCAGAATAGCATGTCAGCTCTTCTTCTGTTTGTCTCCTTTGGTTGTCAGTGGAAGATAATTTTGGCTTGCTCACTTTCCAAATCAGAAACTGAAGTCAAATACTAACGTATCCTAGATGAAACTTGACTCATTCATTTTTTTTTTTTTGTGGTACGCAGAAGAGCAAAACAATAAATCCTGAGAACATAGAAAAAATAGATAATAAAGATATGAGCAGAACTTAATAAAACAGAAAAAAGTATAAAATTGAGGTGATTTAGTAAGTCAAAAGAATATTCTGTGAAAATATTTAAAAAGCACACTTTGATTAAGTAAAACAAAAACATAAGTATATTTATACTTTAAATATTAAATATACAGAAAGAATCAGGACAATGTTATAGCAGAGAATATATGAAATGCCAGTAAATTTGAACATTTATGTAAAGTGGACAATTTCCTAGCTCCTAAAGTTTACCAAAACTGACACAAGAGGAAATTTATAGCTGGAGTTCTTTCACCAGTAAAGGAATTAAGTCAATAGTTT